GGGAATTCAGAGGGAAGGACTAAGCGCTGGCCTGGATCGAATTCTATTTATCTTATCATTATCACGGGCTCTCACAAATCCATGATTTTCCTGTTATCCCAAAGCGCAAGGAGGCCAGGGCCAAGTGACCATGTTGGATACTACTAACAACTTAAAGAGCGGCTTCTCTCCGCTCTTGCAGAGGTGGAGTTGACCTTCGAGATGACGACCGGTCTAAACACTAGGCCGATCAGAAACAGTTCCACATACCAATCTCGCAGGTACAAAAGAATTCCACAAAAGCTAAAGGAATTCCCAGCAAGAGGGGGAGGGGGGTCATAACAGCTTGTGAGAAAAATATTTTCAATTGAGCTGACTTTTCTTTTTCACCGCTTTTTCTTCGTCTGTATCAATACCGCCCTCTCTCCAGCCTTCCCACCCGATGGGGTTTTCGGGGAGGGGGGGGGAAAAGTGGAGTAATTTTTGGGAAAACGAAACTCTGGAAAAGTATTGGGAAGTTGGGACAATATATGAGGATGCTAGGTCGGATTGGATCGAGAGCGGACCTGTTCGGGGGCTCATGGTCTGCAAAAATTTTCCCCAACGGCAGGCCTTGTCTTGCTATGAACACCCGCTGACGTAACGAATCCTGCTTATCTAGGTCGACATGGGATTCCCTCATGAGCTAGTTGTTCAAGCTCTTGAAGAAACGGGCTCTACAGAAGGAGCTACAGAATGGCTGATTAACAGAAATGCGGCCGGACTGCAACAGGTGGTTTTCAGTCTGTGGTCCAAGTGTTATTCTGGACTTTGGCTTTCCAATTTCTTTATTGCCCTATGTTTACAGTCTCTCGAAAGAAGCAATGATGTGGGAGATCTGGAAGAAGGCGAATTCGTGGATGCTAATCTGCCTTTTCTTCTCGGAGTTTCAGTGTCATCTAGTGAGTTCAAGGCCACATCGGCAGCTTCATTAGTCAAGTAACCTCTGCAATAGCAGGTAGTGGTACAAGTGACGAAAGAGATGCCAGACGTGCGGCTGGAACAAGCGCTCCTGTGGATGCAGAAGACTCTATAGAAATGCCGATAATTACGCCTCTGAAAGAGCTGAACATCGATGTACGGTTTGCGAAATCTAAGCACTTAACCTAAGTGGGGAGAAAATTTCCAAATTTTGTCGAGCATTTGTAAATTTTGTCTACGAACTTGTGCGTCTTCATGCTGTACATATCTCTGTTTCAGACCGATTTGTCCATATCTCGTGCTTGCATTGAACTGATGCCTTTATGTAAGCGACTAATGGAGCTCGGCTCGGACCTCGTTTTTTCATGCTTGCCGCCTTGTTCGGGGCATGGTTACGCACTGTGAGAAGAATGGCGTCGTCGTCACTTGATTGGACAAATCAGGGACGGAGGAGGTAGGTAGGACTAGTTACAAATAATGTAAAGCAAGCTCTCTGGGGAAGGGCCTGAGAACGATATTGCTGGGAGGTCAGCGGTTGCTGCCACGCATCATTTGGCAGTGACCGGGTACCGACACCCCTACGAAGCTTTCAGCAAATCTGGCTAAACGCCTCTTCGAGCGTTCCACCAGTCACGCTAGCAACAACCGCCGCCTCCAGAAGTCGTGCCCGCTGCCTTTAAGCTTGCTACCATTTTTTAATTCAGATAATAACTATGGCACAATCTGTTATGAGTGGACCATCCGAGCACGCTGTTCGTGTGCTGTCTACAAGAATCCATTTTGCTTGTCTGTTGTTTGACTATGTCGCCGACGAATATCTCGAGGTAGGAAAACAAACAGTCAGCAAGTTTCGCGTTTCCAGGACAACTTCTTAAGCTCTGGGGGTCTATTCATTTTCATTTGTATTTTCGGAGTGTCCTTATGCGAAACTGGTGTTAGGGTAATGCGGGACTACCTTTCTGCAAAGAAAGAGAGAGAGAGAGAGAGAGAGAGAGAGAGAGAGAAGAAAGAGAAGAGAGAGAGAGAACTGGATAATTTCTCCGGAGCAATTTTTCCTAGGTGACCCTAAATTAAGGCTCAATTTATTTTCCGTACGATACACTCAATTGCTCACAGAAAGTCCCCTCGGAGGCTCCTTATTCCCGCTCCCAGTGAACTAACGTCATTTCTAAACAGTGCAGTGTTGTCGCGTTTTGTGCCAGTTCAGTCTTGAATGGGGGGAACGACAGGCGGCTGAGGAAAAATCATTGAAAATGAAAAATAATGGTCTATGTGTGAAATCTAATAAATGATAATTATTGAAGGGTATAGGTCTGTAGAGCTCACCGTACGAGGACCTGTGCACTCTGACCAAAATGGCTCACTATTTCATCACTGGTACCATTCCATCACTAAACAAGAGTACAAGTGTCAGCCTAAACTGAGAAAAGGGTCCAGCTGTAGTGCAAAGTGTTCCTTCAAGCCGATCAACGCCGGCCCATCGCTCTTTTATTGCGCCATTCCGTTGTGGTTGATCGTTTGTACGTTGCGCAAGGCAGTCACATAAAACAAAACAGTATCAGCACAACCATGAAAATCGCTAGAATCAAAATGGATGAAAGTCACTAACTAATTCTTTCTTGATGAGATGTTCAAAGAATGGAAAGAAATTGGTTATTGGGCCATTTTTCAGACCAGTGCATCTCAACCCATGGTTTCAACCATGCTTCTTCTCCTAGGTTTTGTTTATGACAATTTTGACGTCGACTACATGCAAAATGGGTGAGATCAAAGTCTACGATACATTCTGCAGCAAGCAGTAATCGATCAGAATTGTTTGCAGGCTGTTGTCTCCGGTCGTTTTGTGGCTAGATTTGCATGACAAAGCCAAGCGGGCATTGAAACGACGAACTATTTTGAAATCAGCATCACCACAGCTGAAGTGGTCTTATCATGCCGAAGAAGAAAGGATAAGTGCTGGAAGAAGTACGTAGAATTATCTGAAACCACCCTACATGTATATTCCCTGGAAACGTTTCATTTAGGCCACAAGAAATGGCAGCCTTATTCACCTCTGAATCAACTGCAATTGAACAAAGCATTTTTCTCAGGCAAAACCACCTGCGTTATCAAAATTCCTAGGTACTTTTGGCTAGTTGAAAGAGACATTCCGAGAGAAGCATTTCCAAAATCTTTTCAGAAAAGAGAAAGATTTCACTGTTGACTTCACACTTATGAAGCAGAATGATGGCCTTGCCTGTCACCAAGCTGTTTTCGCAGAGTTACCAGATGGTGCTGATATTGACATTGAAACGCTCATGAAATCGGTAAGTGCCATTTATCGTACAGCCTTGTTCGCTGCGGATGATGGAGCGTGTCAGTGAGGCTGGTTTTGGCGTGCCTCAGCCTGTTCTTCGCCAGTAGCTCAAGCTGAAAAGCGACAACATTTGATGGAAAGCGGTTGATACGGTATGATGGAGTTGTGTCGCTCGCTGAAGGGAAGGAACGGGCTGGCGCTGCTTCAACTTCCCTCCCCCCCCCCTTGACACGCCCCATCATCCGCAGCAAACACGTTATACATACGAATAAACCCATTGAATGCTTCATTTCAAGGAGCGTGAATCTGTATGGACGACCGCTGAGACATCTCGGTTGCTAGTCATAGTTGTCAGTTTGCTGCACAAGTCTTTGATTCATCACACTGCTGCTCATACTATTCTAGCATTTGTCGCAAGACTTACCAGGGATGCAAACTGCGCCGTGAATTTCATTCAGGTTTGCGATAGTTTAACGGCCTAGTTGAGTGGCGATGGAGGGGAGGGGCATTTTTCACTTTTGCTACTTTCCATAGTCCGAGTTCAGAAGTTCCACTAGCAGGAAACTTGTAAACCGGAACTTGTGAAGTGGCGAAAGTGCAAAATGCTCCCCACCCCTCCTCCATTCCGTCGCGGCACTGCGCCGTTTTCATTTCTGCTTTGTCTGTATGTGCTGCTCTCGAAATGATCGTTCATTCCAGCAAGGTGGTATCGCGGCTGTTTTGCAATTGCGCTGTTCTACGACTCCATCCACCTCTGTCCTGACGTCACTTATCATCAGGCAATGTATTGATGATGAGAACATGATGGCACAGGTACCCTTTCAAAAAAAGTCTGCGGTGAAAAGAATCCCGATCGTCTGATTAGGTGATGGAGAAGAGTGTACGCGTTGTCACGAATCCGGTGCAGTCTACTCCTTTATCCGAATATCTTGGCATGTCGGAGAACAAGCCCAAGGATTGGTGTGAAACACTCAACAAGCTTGCCCCACTTTCTACAAGGTATGTTGAAAGATAAGCATGGACAAGTCCTATCAAGTGACTTTAAATTGCCTTTCGAAGGGTAGCCTCGGAAAAAAATCAGTTCACGTTCTACACTGCTAGGGAAATATTTGCAAAATACTACCTGCCCCACCCATTTCCCCATCTGGTATGACCTTCTTTACTCCCTACCATCCCCCTGAACTTCGCCACCTTTTCCAGAGCTTTTTTCCGAAATTCCTCCACTTTTTCTTTCCAAAAAAAGCCTGTCCTCAGTGTGGGAGACGAGAGGTATACATATAGCGCACTTACCATTAGACCAGGAAACAGTCATCAATCAAAAGCGTTCTTATCAAAGGTAAATACTACCCCCTTCCTTCAGCGACCAGATACGCCCCCTCGCTCCCTCCCTTCGCTGGAGATCCCCAGCGTACAGCGCGGTGGATAAAATGATTCTCTAATGAACACATGAACTTGAATGCAAGCACTTTGGAAATGCCTCTATTACAGTGCGTTTTTTTTTGTTAGACTACTTTTCCTGAGGAGCGTAGTGAAAGTCTCCCGGTCAGTCATCCAGCCACAGTGGATTTTCGCCGCTTCTGGAGATCACTGGAGTAATTTCAAGCCCTACATTTAGTATGAATGAGGATTCTATGAAGGTATATCAACTGCGCACTGTGTGATACCTCTGAATGTTGCCGTAGAACTTCTTTTGAGGTGTTATTTCGTGAAAGTTCCATCTTTTCTGAGCCATACTTTCACAAACTTCTGTGTGGCCCGATAGCACTTGCAAAATGCAGTGATTTGGAAATGCAGCTGAGTAAAGCAGTATGTCCAGAGTAACTCTACTAGACATGTTAACTGTTCCCACAGTGAGATATACGTTGCGGGTTGCTGGTGACCTGACCTATCGGACACTTCACGACACCCCCTTTTCTGCTTCCCAGGGTTATGTTCAGTGGTAACATTCTGTGGGTCGGAGTTTGGGTCTGGGACTTTACGGTCAGCTTGCTTGCGACGGCGAAATGGACGTGGCAAAGGGCGCCATGTATGCAGTATCCGCTTTGGCTTTTATTTGAATTAACGCAGGAATGTAACAGTATGTAAAGTCAACTAGCTAGAAAACACCCTGCCTACTCCTGCGCGTTACCCCAAAGTGGGCGTAATGGCTGCCGCTCAAAATCGTTCTGCGAAATCACAACCCAACTTTGCATGGTTGTTTTGGAAAGGGATCGAAAAAATCTCTGCTTATCTTCGTTTTTAACAGGGCTCCTGCCATTTTCGTAAATGCAATGGAAAAATGCGCGAAATTGGACGGCACACTAATGGTTTCTACTTCATCGAAGCCTCATTTCTCAGCTCCTACCAGCAATGAGCGGACTCAGCAGGTTGTATTGCTTTCCGATTATTAAAATCAAAAGTTTTCATACATTTTCTTAAGATTGTTCAACTCCTACTGCGTGAATGTCTTCATGGTGAATGGCCATCAGAAAGCAGCGTCCCATTGGGACACACAAGAATGGTATGCAGATCTTCTCTGAAATTTTCAGGGATGGTAGTTCAGTCTGTAGTCCAATATGTTGAAGACAATTCCCGCGATCAAATGTTGCGGGTAGTTGGTGCTCCGTTATGAACCAGCATCCCATAAGTAGCTCCTCAGTAGAAAAAGAAGGGGAAAAAACTCTCGGGAACACCCTAAACACAGACCTCCCCTCAGCAGTCTTGGACGAGTGTGTCGGGCGTGAAGGACGCGCGCTCCATAGCGATTGGAGCGCAAAGCTTGAGCCGTGGGACCGTGGCGTGAGCGCCAGGCAATTCCTGGCCAACGATGCGATATTCGTGTTGGAGGTTGGAGGTCTGCATAACAAATTAA